TTGAGTATTTCACCTGCATATCTTCTTTGATGCATCATCAAACCTCTACCGCTCTTGTAGAATTTGATGCCAATAAAATATGAGAGATTTCCCAAGTCTGACATTTTAAACTCCTCACTTAGGTCATATTTGAAATCTTTGATCTCCTTCTTGTAACTTCCTGTTATAAACAGGTCATCGACATAGAGACATAGTATAAGTAATTCACTATTGTTTCTCCTTACATATACTTCATGCTCAGTCGTGTACTTCACAAACACTTTCTCCCTTAGAAAGTTATCTATCTTCTTATTCTAAGCTCTTGGAGCTTGCTTAAGTCCATATAGAGCTTTATGAATCCTGTACACCTTTCTTTATTCGCATTGTTTCACAAACTCAGCTGGTTGTGCAACATAAACTTCTTCATCTAAGGGGTCATTCAGTAATGAACATTTCACATCCATCTGACATACCTGTCAGCTGTTCATGTTTTCTAGACCAACAACCAACCTGATTGTTTCGATCCTAGCAACGGGTGCAAAGACTTCGTCGAAGTCGATTCCTTCTTTCTGGAGAAATCCTTTTGCAACAAGTCTTGCCTTGTGTCGAGTTACTTCTCCTTTAGGATTCAACTTAACCTTGTATACCCATTTCACATTGATTGCCTTCTTGTCTTAGAGAAATTTGAAAAGTGACCAAGTGTTGTTGACTTCGATGGACTTTAGTTCCTCATTCATTGCTTTCTTCAACATTGAATCTTTCAATGCCTCAGCTGCATTGACTGGTTCGGTATCTTCACAAAAAGCATAGTGTACCAACTCACCTACTTCATTTACCACATCATCTGATGTAATCACACACTCTTGCAACCTTACATGCATGTGTCTTGTTCGTTGAGCTCTGCTTGGGCCTGCTTCACCTATGACTTTTTCTTGTCGAACTTATCTTTCGACTTCACTAGCCGGTTCTTCACATAAGATTCTCACTGAGTCCTTCTTAAAATTCTCAGTCCAATCTCATTCTTTAAGCTCATTTATGATCTCATTCCTACTGATCACTACTTGCTTGTTCACTAGGTCGAACAACTTGTATCCTCCAGTCGATTGATATCCTATTAAGATCATTTGACTCAACTTGTCATCAAATTTTCTTCTCAAATGATCTGGCACATGTCAATGTGCTATAAATCCAAACACATTCAAATGACTTAGGCTAGGCTTGACACTAGACCAACATTCTTCTGGCGTAATTCCTTCTAGCCTTTTTGTCGAACATCTGTTCAAGATGTATGTTGCAGTCAACATAATTTCTCCTCACAATTCTTTGGGTAGATGTTTGCTTTTCAACATGCTTCTCACCATATTCATGATGGTTTTATTCTTCCTTTCTGCAGTTCCATTCTGCTGTGGAGTATTTGGGGGGCATCACCTCATTCATAATCCCTCCTTTCTTACATAATGCATCAAAATCTTTCGACACATACTCTTCACCACCATCAGTCCTCGGAATCTTTAGCTTTTGATCACTTTGTCTTTCGACCATAGATTTAAATATGAAAAATACCTCGATCACTTCACTTTTCTTCTTGATTAGGTAAGTCCACAGTTTTTGACTAAAATTATCTATGAACATAACAAAGTATTTGTTACCTCCAATTGAATCCACCTGGATAGGACCATATACATCAGAGTATACGACTTCAAGAATTGCCTTCGACTTGCTTCTGCTTCCTTGCTAAAGTTGTTCTTGTGCTGCTTTGCCTGAACACATTCTTCACACACTTCACTTAGAATGTCGATTTCTGATAATCCTGAAACCATATTTCTTCTCTTCAAATCTCGGATGTCTTTGAAATTGAGATGACCAAGTCTATAATTTCATATCCATTCATCTTTGTCGGCTGCAGTTGCAAGACACTTATGCTACATCACATTAAGTTCAATCTTGAAGGTTCTATTATGAGACATTGGTGCCTTCCAGATTAACCTACCACCTGAATCGAGAACTTTCATCAGCTTGTCTTTGATCAACACCTTGTAGTTCTTTTCTACCAGCTTCCATATGCTAAGCAAATTACTCTTCATGCCTGGTATGTACGATACATTGGGAATTACTGACCTCTTTCCATCTTTCCTCATAATCAGAACATCACAAATACCTTCAGTTGCTAAAGTATTGTCATTTGCAAATTTCACCATGTTCTTCATTGAGGGTTTTATGTTTACAAACCAATCATTTCTACCAGTCATGTGTGATGAGCATCCTGAGTCCAAGTACCATTAGTCCTGAAATCTTTCATCATCTTTTGTTGTGACCATCAACAACATCTCTTCTTCTTCTTCTTCTTCTTCTTCTTCTTCATGTTTTGCCAACTTTGGATCAGTTTCTTGATTCTTCCTCTTTTTTGGACAATCACTAAAATAGTGACCATACTTATGACAATTGTAACACTGAATGTGAATGTTGTCAGGTTTTCGACCACCACCTCTTCCTCTACCTACAGCACCACCTCTTTGGTTGCCTTTATTCCAAGGTTAATTCGATCAGTTTCTTTCTTGTTGATTTCGACCAGTCGAATTGTTGTAGCCTCCTCATCATTTGTTGCAATTCTAACTTCCTTTGTCTTTCTTTTCTTTTGTTGATTGCGCTTGCAAAGCCACATCACTCTTTGACTTTCCTGCAACTTTTCCAGCCATCCTTTGTTCATGAGATTCAAGAGTCCCTTGAAGCTCTTCCTTTGTTAATGTTGACAAATCTTTCGACTCTTCTATGACTACTACCATGTGGTCAAACTTTGGAGCTAATGACCTCAAGATCTTTGCAACAACTGATCTTAAAGTCAACAATTCTCCACATACTTTGATTTAATTCACCAACTTAGTAACCCTAGTGAAAAAATCGATTATGCTTTCACTTTCTTCCATTTGAAGCAATTCATACGTTCTTTTCTGAGTTTATAACCTCACATCTTTCACCTTCTTTGCGCCTACAAATGATTTCTCCAAGATTTCTCATGCTTCTTTTGCTGATTCTACATCACTAACCTTTTCAAAATTGTATGGATCAACGTATTCATGAATTATAAAGAGAGCTTTATAATCTTTTATCTTCTATTCTTTGTATGCAGCCTTTTCTTGATCCGACGCATTTTCTGCAAGCGGTGTTACTCATTCCTTCACAAGATCCCAAAGATCTTGATAACAGAAAACCACCTTCATCTGCTTGCACAAATTCTCATAATTATTGTTCTTGAGAATCGGAAGACTCGCCAGGAAATGTCTGTTTGGATGATTCATTGCTGTCGTGATTTTCTTCCCATGAATCGCTCAGCCAGTGCTCTAAATACCAGATGTTGAAATTAACCCAAAACTTTGAGATTTCCGAGTCAATATTGATGAACAAGATTCAATCAACCAATCGAAATTGATTGCTTTTCACTTGAGTGAATCAATCACACCTTGATTGTAAGAATGATTATGCCCAACAATTATCAATGGAAGAAGAAATAAAGAAAATTAATTAAGAAAGAAGATTAAGGTTTAACAAAAATTGGAGAAGAGGAGATGATTTTTACATAGTAACTCTCTGCTCTCAAACTAAGAAAATATTATTCAATTGTGCAACTGCACTTTCTATTGGGTGTTACAATATTATTCTCTTTTCTTCTTACTCAAAATAGGGGTTACTCCCTCTATTTATAATTGAGCTACCTTACTCCCTAAGGTAAAGTCCAAAATTACAAAAGCATAAAATTTCTATTTTGGTCTAAGTCGAATCCTGTGTCAAGTAATCTGCTTCCACACTTCAATATCTAACACAACTCGACACGCACACTAGACTAATTTCGACACATCTTTGTTTCTATTGAGCTACACTTACTTCGACACAAAGAATTACAATCTCAACCGATCTGACACATCATTATGATCCACATAACCATCAATACTAACATGAGCACCCCTCCTCCTCTGTGTCAGCGTAGAGTGACCAAAAATATGATAAAAAATAGAATTGTTTTTTATTATCCATGTAAATGGGAGTACCAATATTGCCGCCTATGAAAAATATATTTTTGTGCCGCCAATACTTTGTGCTAATGTAGATATATGAATTCACACTTGTGCTAATTTATAGTTGGTTTGATGCTGCACATATGGATTGAAATCCTTGCTCCAAGTAAATTATAACTTGAGAAAGACTAGGTTGATATTCTAATAATGTACCGATTATACCCTTAAGCACTTCAACATATGAAAACGATAGTACATCGAATCCTTTACCAAGTGAAGAAATTCCCCACTTTCCAATAATCTTTCACTGATCCATATGTTTAATGCGAATATTTCCCACCTTCAACAGATTAGCTCCTTTTGGCCATGTAGATTGTTTTTGCATTGTTCAAAACCAACAATATATTCCTCCTCAGAAATGAGGATCACTATTTAATCTCCCTTGATCGTGGGTTTAGGAAATTGGCTCATTGGAATAAAACATACCAATTCGTTTAGCGTTTGCGCAAAAGATAACTTGATGATCACGTTATCAGTAGGTTGAATATTATAAGCATGTGAATCTTTAGGTTGAGGAGAAGGATTAGGTGGAGATAGACAAGATCAAGGTAGGGCACAGATCCCCATGGTAGCCATGAGCGGCAGCCGACGGAGATCGTCTCCAAAAATCTGTTGTGGCGAAAATGTAGTTATAAAAAAATTAAAAAAATTACAAATCAAAATGTGATTCAGAAGGATCTTGAGTGTTTTATTTTATTTCATTTTCATCTTTGATGAGATAGAGCATAGATGTAAATAGATGAATATACAAACGAGAGTCGTCTATGAATCATTTTTCTATCATACAAGTAAAAGTAAAGACATGTTAGGTAAAACAATTTGAGAAACTAAACTCTTTTTAGTGTTCTTATTAAGTTAGAAAAAAATTTATTATTTCTTCAACGAAAAAAAACAGTCGTGCACCAAAACTCGTAAGAATTAATGTGCTAGTGGCTATACAACATTTCCTTGTCACTTGCACTCTTCTCTTCTTGTGGCTGTCGCTGAAACATAATAGGCAACAGTAAACAATCCGTGAATGAAACATAAAATCCCTCCAATGGATAAAAATCGATGATTTGATATCCCACACGACTCTCTCGATCTTGAGTTGGCTAATGTGCCTATGATCAGCATGGAGAATGCAACTCCTAATACTATCCTGTAAACAATTAACAGCAATTCAGCGAGAAGTCCATCAAATTTTTGAATCGACTTATTAGAATTTATCTACTGACATAAATTTTGTGACGCTGTTTAGTAGTCTTACCACGAGAGGACGAGGAAAGTCATTGCTAATTGTCTATTGGATGTGGCTCTTTTGTATTCTTCTATAGACTTTGTGCAAACGCAACCACCAAGGAAGTGTGCAGTTGCATGAGCCAAGGCCAATAGAATGGAAGCACTAAGCCCTAGCTTGAAAGCTTGATAGCTTGGATCCCTACAAACAAGCACCCAAATCTTCAAATCCTTCACCTGTTAACAACAATTGAATCCTTAATTGAGATAGTAGATTTCTCTACGAGATGTCAAGTTCATGCATGATAAGAGTTTTGGAGTACCTTATTTTGAGCTATTTCTGCTTGAATTCCAAGTATGCCAGCAACAACATCCATGACAATGACAACAATGCAGACAAGGAAACCATAGTTTCTAGCCATTTTTCTGAAATTCTAAGGTGTTGCAAACTACCTTGTTCTTTTAACTCCTCATTTTAATAGTTAAGCATCATGTATTATAATATTGGAGGAATAAGAATAAAGATTGAGCCAGGTTTGCAGTGCATTATCATATATGGAAGAAATTAGCTCATTAGGCTTAAAGCTACTTTTATCTTCACATTTTTTACTTTATTCTTTATTTGCATTTCCCTTTCTAATATTCCTTCCGTTAGGGAACACGGAAACAAGAGTTTCACCACCAAGGAAAGCCCAAATTCTCAGGTATGTCTAGCATATGAGACTCGAATGGAACTTTAAGCACCTCCCTCCATTATCAACTTTAAGCTACTTTTATACAAGTTTGTTTACTTTAAGATATAAATAATAATAAATAAATGATTCTCCTAAGGATTGAAATTTAAACCCACAATTTTCACTAATTTAACATAACTTTAATTTCATTGTTTCTTTAAATAATGGTTTTAGTTAAAAAAAAGGTGTTTTTAAATTAAAGGATTTACAAGAGTATGTGAATTAATTTAACCGACTTTTTATTAACTAAATTAAATTAATGTAAATTGTTCATTCAAAATTTAATAATTAACGGTAATATATTTTTTATAATATATTAATATTGTTCTAGGTTGGATAAAGTTTTAATAAAAAAAGATTCATTTACAATTCTCAAGCAACAGGCAAAGACAAATAAAGGTTTGATAACTATCCTACATACTCTTATGCGTAAAGTTTAAGGTACACACTTTCATATTTCATTATATCTCTTTATGGAGTCGGTTACTAACTTCAGCATTAATCTTGTAGTTACATCTTGCATTCAAGCACTCTAAGGTACACACTTTCATATTTCATTATATCTCTTTATGGAGTCGGTTACTAACTTTAGCATTAATCTTGTAGTTACATCTTGCGTTCAAGCACTCTAGTGACTTGCACCATTGCGTCAAGAGTCTATCATTTTAGCTCATTCACAATTCTAGTTCATCGAACGGAACGTTAGCGTCGTATGTGGGAATCGATTTTTAACTCTTCACAATTCCAAAAGTTTAACCTGTTTGATTTGAAATCCAGATCACCAAAGTAATACGCTACGATGAACAAAATTAACTCTTAATTTCAACCTCAAGAATTTCTTTGAACAACCTGAACTAGCACCTTGTCGATTTCCGTGGTCGATGAGATCAAAGAAACATTACCAAGGAGAGAGAAGTGACTCTTGCTAGACTTTCCCTGGTCCATGAAGCATATTGATAAACAAAGAAACGACAAGATGATGCCATGCTTTCATGACCACAAGAAAGTAGATGAAACCCCCAACGTTACGTTACCGTTAGTCATATCTACCACTGTAGCAAATAATATTATATCAAAAATCCTAATCAACGATGGAAGTGCATGAAACCTCATGTACCTAGAGATATTTAGGAAATTAGGTCTTCAAAAGTAAGATCTAAAGTCATGTAAAAACATGAACCTTTTAGCATTCAATGATTCTACTACTTGTAAGTGTACACTTCTTGATAGTTCCTTGTGAAAACGTTTTCAAAAGTATCCTCGGGAGGTTGTTCCTAGCAATGTTCGACGTGGTAGCCTCCTTGGTTCACCTCAAGATGAAATATCACAATAATATCGGTAAATCGATCACCATTTCTGCCTACGCAGAACACGCTTATCCATGGAATGATACTCAAGACTCAGCACTACCTCAACAGAAGCAAGAAAATCTTAAGAGAAGTCAATGTAACTAACCTCCATATTTAAGAAAACATGGTTATTCAAAATAGTGAACCCACTTCACTCACTGGGGCTAAGTCGAAGGTTTTAAGGCCAATTTCGGGCAGTGAATTTAAAGTTATCCAACTTGACGTCAATCCTTCCCGGTCAATGAAGATATATGTCGACCTTTTAGGTAAGGTGAGGAAACAGAATATCAAATGCTTAAGGGAAAACAATGGTCTTTTTGCCATCTCACCCTACGAGATATCCGACATAGATCTGAGTGTAACATGTCACAAGTTAAACATTGATTATGAAACCTGGTATGTATTCAAGACTTAATGGATGCCACTTCATCTTCAAGGTAAGATATATTTAGTCGCTTTCTAATATCATGGAGAATGTGTGTCGAATGCACAAATCTTAATCGGGCATGCCCTAAATATTCCTACCCACTACCAAACATAGATAAATTAGTAGACAATTCAACCAGTTATAAAATTTTGTCATTCATGGATGCACTCTGATTATAACCAAATACCCATGTATGATTTGGTTAGAGGGAAGACGACCTTCATAACCAATCGACCTAACTACCAATATAATGTGATGTCTTTTGGGATGAAAAATGCAAGAGTAACATACCAGAGGACAGTGAATAAGAGCTTCCAAGAACAATGTCTCAACCGAGTATAACAATATAACATGGGGTTTAACCCAGAGATGTGAATTTTTGGGGTCTGAGTTGGAAAATTTATAGGTTTTTACTTGACACAAAAAGGAATAGAATCCAACCTTAACAAACGTGAGGCAATCATCAAGATGAATGTGCCATCTACTAAGAAGGAGGTGATGAAACTCAATTGGGCGTTAACAGCCCTAAATTGATTCATCTTGAATTAGGCCTAACATGCCTTACTGTTTTAAAGTTTATTAAGGAAAGAGACATAATTCTCATGGACCCTGGAACACGGACATGCTTTCTCATCCATGAAAACAACTTTGTCCACCCCGTCAGTGCTTACACGGTCGACCATTAGAGATGTTCTAAACCTCTACCCTATTGTATCCCAAGAAGTTGCCATTTTCATTTTGATCGGTGAACCAGACTCCCATCAAAGTATAATGTACTTCATCTCCAAATCTTTAGCCCAGAGTCATGCTACTAAAAGATCGATAAGGTAGTTGATGACAATTTAGCAAGTGTACTAAATGTATCGAAGTAATAAATTTATAAGTTTGTCTCCACAAGAATTGTTCTATTTAACAAAGTGATTTGCGTGCTATTGAAATTAAAATTGGGGGTTTTCAGATTTAATATGGTTAAATAAAATTAGTGGAAAACTTGATCAAATTAACAGCAATTAGACCTTGTGTCGAATCCCATGTATGTCACTATAGATACTGGCATCTATTTACCCTTAAGATGAATTATCAATGATTACGATGATTTAACTTATCCATTATACCTAATTTCTTGGTGTATAACTCACTTTTCTACACTAAGCTCTCTAATCCCTTAGGTCAGCTGGCTAGTTAAAACATACAATGTCTTTGTGTTAAACCCTAAGCCATAATTTATAATTTCTTACTCTAATCAATTACTGGGTTGAACCGATTAATTTAGTTTCAATCCATCGAGTTATGGTCAATAATCACTACGAGTCTAGATCAATATACATATTCATAAACACATATAAAACAATGAACACAAAATTAAACTGAATAATGATACTGAATAAGTCAATTATTCAAATAGTACAAAGATCCAAACATATGTCTTAACAGGTTCGTACAAGTTCATCTAACAAGCCTTAATCAATAAAACTTCGTTATTCATACTCCTAGAAACCATAACTAAAGTAATAAAGAAACAATACATAAATTTCATATTTGAATTTGGCTTCCGGTAATGAAAACCTTCGCTCCAAAACTTTAGAAATTTCTTCGTCGTCAAATTTGAGTCACAAGAATGTTCAACCCCTTTTCGAATGCATTTTACCTTTTTTATAGAAGCAAAAATGTGTCAGAAAAGCCAACCATTACGCCCATGATGTATTGTTTTTCCCGTGGATTATGGCGATGATTCTTTTTATCGTTTCGTGATAAGTGTCTGTTGTGTTACGATTTCCACACCGTTTTTCCAGTGGCTATATATTTCTATTAGATTTCATTTGCAAATATTCTCATCTCAATCCTAGTTATGAAACTTTAGATATGATCAAATTACTAGATAGACGTCATGATGTAAATTGTGCTGAAAATGTTATTTTCTACATAATTTCTCTAGTTTTTCATACTTCTAATTTGTTTTCTCACTTCCTTATTTTCTTTCTATTTCTTCATAAAACTCAAACATAAACTACAAAGAATCATCAAAAACATATGCAAATGCTTATAAAAATGACAGAGTGTCATCACAACCCCAAACTTATACGGTTATTTGTTCTCGAGGAACTCATTCATAACTATGATCTTCCTTATAACTTTTTACTTACTAAACCTATGGAAGACACCAATCGCTGTCGAGTCATCAATTTCGTTTCTTGCTTTAATCCAACATAATCCAAAAAAAAAAAATTCTACTACTTTATATATATTCAACCTTCTCTCAATCTCACCGTACACTCTTATTGAAACAATCTAGTAAACACTCATTCTCATACAATTGACACCAAACATATGAACTTACAAGTTTTTTAAAAATTCGTCACTTTCTATTCGAGAACACATTTTTGAGGTCTTTCACATGTTGTAACGTGACTTATATCAATGTGGGATATATTTGGCAAGTAGGTTCAATTCCTTGGATTTAAATACCTGATACCCTCCTATTTTTACACCACCCTTACATATTCTTTGTTTATTTTCACCTATGGGTACAAGAATTTCGACTTTCGTTTTCTCTTTTTTTCTTCCAGAAGCTTTAAATTTTTAACAGCGTAACAATTTTTCTAGCTTATATTCATTCTTATTTTTTTTGTCGACACTTTTTTTATTATCAAATTCTAGTACCCCAAACTTAAAACATTTCTTATTTCAGAAGAAACCCCAAACTTATTTTTTTCACGTATCATTACAAATCATATAAAAGTAACAATTTACCTAACTCCAATGAGAGAGGGGAATGATTTCTCTTTCAGGTTAATGATCTAAATTTATGGCTAAGTCACCAAAAAATTGGCTCAGGCTGAAAGAGTTTTCAACAGATAAAAATTCTTTTAAGGTTCACCTAAGAAAGGGACTAAGTTAAAACAAACAACTTG